AGAATCACTAAAATTAGAAACACCAGTGATGACTCATGTTGGAGCAAGGGGAACACTCCTCCACTGCTGGTGGGAGTGCAAACTCATACAGCCATTTTGGAGATCAGTATGGCGGTTCCTTAGGAAAATGGGAATTAGTTTACCACAGGACCCGGCAATCCCCCCTCTTAGGCATATACCCAAAGGATTCACATCCATGCAACAAAGACATCTGTTCAACTATGTTCATAGCAGCACTATTTGTAATAGCAAGAACCTGGAAGCAACCTAGATGCCCCTCAATTGAAGAATGGTTAATGAAGATGTGGCACATCTACACAATGGAATACTACTCTGCAGAAAAAAATAATGGTATCTTGAAATTCGCAGGCAAGTGGATGGCACTTGAAGAAACCATCCTGAATGAGGTAACCCAGTCACAAAAAGAGGAACACAGTATGTGCTCACTCATATGTGGATTTTAGACCTAGATCAAAGGATCACCAGCCTATAATTAACACCACCAGAGGAACTAGGATACAAGGTGTATTCTAAGAGATTCATATAAAGTCCCTCACAGAACTGGTAAGGGACAAGTCCCCCAGAGCTCAGGGGAAATGGGGGTGTGGCAGCGAATGGAGAGAGCAGTAGGAGAAAACGAGGGGGAGAAAGGAAAACATGTGGAACCAGGAAGATTGAACCTGGTTAGGAATACAAGACAGGGAAGAGAGAGAGAGAGAGAACATAAAAGAGGGAGCCAATATTGGTTTGAAGATAAAATTGAACACAAAGAAAGGTCTAGGGAACTACAAGACTGCTGCCAAATATCAATTTGCACTTCTGTGGAAAGGCTATCATAAATGCCCTTCCCAGAGAGTGAAAGGGTAAGATCAAAAACTAACTTATCCATGCAGCCTCAACTAATGCCTGTTGGAAACAGGATCAAACACCCATACATAAACACTGAGTCGAAGTAGTACTCAGATGCAGATGGAGGGGACAAGAGCAGGTGTCAGAAACACATAGAGACAGCTTAACTGAACAAGAAGGAGCTAACGGGCCACCAGACTGATAGCTGGGAAGCCAGCATGGGACTGACTCAGGCCCCCCTGAATATGGGTCTCAGCCAGAAGGACTGAGCAGTCTAAGGTATCTCAGACAGTGGAGCCAGGACGTATCCCTGGTGCACAAAAGGACCTTGGGTACACATCCCCCATGGAGTGATAACTGACTTAATCTAGAGACAGGAGAGAAGCCCTAGTTCCTACTTCACATGACCTGTCAGACCTACATGACCCCAATTGGATGGCATTTCCCTACATATGGAATTGGGGTGGTGGGATGGGAGGGGACGGTGGTTAGAATGCATGTGAGAGGGCAGAGAGCATAAAAGGGAGGGAAGAAAGGAGGGAGGGAGGGAGGAAGAGGGAACTAGGATCAACATGTAATAAATTAAAAAAAAATGCTTTGACTCCAAAATTTAAGTTCAAGGACAAGTTGCTGGGGAAAAGGATTGCTATTTTTGTTTCCACAGAAAATGAAAAGATGTGGATTCCTTCCAGACTAATGTGGTTTGATCAAACCAAACCACCTGAAACAGTACCAAGTGATCCTACACTCAAAACAGCTGGACAAAGCAGCCTTACAGACTACAGCCAGGATTTCTGAATCTTCTTGAATCCCCCAAGACAGCACTCTTACCAGTAGGATGTAGTTTGGAAAGAACGACCCCCAAATTCCCAAATATTGTCTATAAATATTTGTTTTCATTTAAATGGTCTTGGTATTATAAATAAAAAAAAAAAAAACAAAGGGCGAAGAAGAAGAGAAGAAAGAAAGAAGAAGAAGGAGGAGGAGGAGGAGGAGAAGAAAGAAATGGCTGATAGAATTAGCAGTGAACTGACTCCATATTTTATGGAGTCCAATTTGTGCTGGCCATCATCAGGTCTGGCCTTGAGTGAGTCAGTGAATGAGATCCATATACCTGTGTCACTCCATTGAAGAAAACCAATTTCCCTATTCTTAGCAATTTCCACCTACAAAGAGCTTCCTGCCTAGGAGTGGAGCTTCACACTCTTCCTTTAAGTTTTTATTCCCACTAAATACCTTTTGTTCGTATTTTCAAGAGATGGGATTTTGTGGCCATGTCTCCTTGTTGGGATTCTGTGTGGCTTGAGCCTGTGTAGATTTTGTTTTTACACTTACTTTTCAAGACAGGGTTTCTCTGTATTGCTTTGGAGCCTGTCCAAGAACTAGCTCTGTAGACCAGGCTGGCCTTGAACTCACAGCCTCCCAAGTACTGGGAGTAAAAGTGTGAGCCACCAACCCCCAGCTTGTTTTCACACTTTCTGTGAGTGCATATGTGTGTCTGGACTCTGAAATTTTCATAAAATCATCTATCTCTTCTGGCTCCTTCCATCACATCTAGCTCTTAGAATCTTTCCATTTCCCTCTTCCCACATATCTCTGGGTCTTGAGGGCCTGATAAAGACATCCCATTAGAACTGAGTACTCCAAAGTTTATCGCTTTCCCTTGTTGTGGATCTCTGAGCTTTATGCCATCCAGTTCATGAAAAAGCTTCTTTGCTAAGTGTTAAGTGACACTCTGATCTACAGATATAATAATATATTATCAAGAGTCATTTATTATAATATTCTTTAGTAGACTAATAGTAATATGTTTCGGCCTCGGTCCTATAACTTCTAGTCTAAGATTCTTGGCCACATAAAAAGTGTCAAATATAGGTTCGGTATCATGAAGTGTAGCTTAAATCCAATTATAAATAGATTGGTGACTCTCCTAACCTTCTTTCCACTCTTTCTACTGTCAACCAGTGAACACATTTTGTATAGCTAAGTTAGAGCTGGGTTACGCTAGTAGCATATAGCACCTTTAAGGTGTACATAAAACTTGCCAGTATGAATGAAGCTTCCAGTTGACTATCTACATTTCTCTATGTTAAATACCATAAGTGTGGTATCATAATCAATAGTTTTACCATCAGTTGTAGTTGGTTACCAACCAAATGGGCAACATCCTGTATTGATTAGGGTTCTATGGAACACCCTTTCCAACAACTCAAAAATGTAATCCATTCTGGGTACTGGAGTTTTTATTTGATAACTTTAGATGTCCTGTTTTTCTCTCCATTTAAATTCATTAAATCCATATATATATATATATATATATATATATATATATATGCAGGAATGCTTTTACAGTAATAGGTGTTCATATGATTTCATTACAGCCTTATTATTAGTTGTTAGTTCCTATATTTCTGCCTGTATGTAGTCCTCCCATCATTCACCCTTTAATATTTCGGTTCTAATGTCTCCATTATTTTTCTATAATTCTACATTCTACAAATCCTTCTAGACAGATACTCTTTTATTTTCCCCTGGTCCCTTACTAGACACCTAACTTCTGTTTTCATTCTGAGTAAAACCTCACATACCTCAGCCATAAAAATGTAGCACCCATATTTAAGAAAAATGTGTAATGCTTGTCTTTCTTGGTCTGGCTTTACATTCCTCAATATGATTATTTTTACCTCCATGTGTTTGCATGTAAATTTTATTACTTATCAACTGAATAATATCCCATAGAGTAACAATACTAGATTTTGGTATCTTTTCATCACCTGATGGTCATCTTTGGCCATCATTCTGGAAAATAAATATGAAGTAAAAATGAACAATTATCTTTATGGCAAGATGTAGAGTCCTTTTGGTATGTGCTTCTGATTTATACAGATAGACCTTGGAGTAAAACTAGTTTAATTTTTTGAGGAGCCTCCACACAAATTTCCATAAAGGCTTTATTAGTTTGTACTCCCACACACAATTAATAACTCTTCTGTGTTATCTACATCAGAGTAATTACAATTATTTGATAATTAAAGTTGGTTATATCTGGAAGCTTGGTACTTGATTACTTTTTCTCAAATAATTATATGCTAAGATGAGGATTTAGGAGAGGGTAGATATTCCACAATCATAGGAACGTGAGATTGACCCTCATCATCAATATAAAAAGCCTGGTTTGGTGGTCTGAACTTGAAGTGCCAGCAATGGAGAAGAAACATGCAGGTTACTAAGGCTTCCTAAATAGACAACATCCCTTGTTTAGTGAATGAGTGAGTGCTATGTTAGAGACAAACTTTGTGTCAAAAACAAAGGTGGACAGTGACTTAAGAAAACTAACCAAGTATAATTCTTGGCCTCTACATAAACACAAAACACACGCATGCACACACGTACACAGGTATGCATGCACGCATGAACAAACTCATACACTTATATCAATATAGTCATTTTAGAATGAACTATGGCCTCCATACATTTATTATCAGGCACTCAAGCTTCATATTCACACTAGTATACATGCTCACATGCACTAATAATAGTAACAAATAAAGAAAATAAAAATATATACATGAGAAAATTGTTCAGTATGAAATAAGCCTCTAACAACCATGGTCATACCAAGTCAATAAATGGAAAGGAACGTAAGTGTTTTCAATAAGCAGGAAAGCATTTAGTGTTTTATAATATAAATTAATAACATTGAGATATGAAAGCAAAGATGATGTTAATTTTCAGCTATGAACTCTTTCATTGTTATTAAGGAAAAGCTGAAGATTAAAACATTCATAAATAATGTGGAGAAAAGGGAAACTTATTAAAAGCAGGGAGTGTATTAGAAATACATTTGCACAGAAACAAGTATACTTTACCACAAGTAAACAGAAAATCCACAGACACTATTGACATATCTTGGAAAAGTATTTGACTTAAGCCCAATTATTGCTATTTTACTTTCTAACCTTACTTCATTATGAGTTACTTATGCAAGCCCTTTGTTTAATGCTTCCCTTTAGTCCTGATGCTCTGACTGATCAACTCTGCAAGAAGACACACAATTAAAGACCAGTGCTGAATGCAACCAGAAAAAGTGAGGAGTAAGAGAAGAAAGACTTCTGGTACCTGTTTGTCAGAGTCTGGTCCATGAAAGGACCATGATCCTTCATCTCGGCCTGTGGAAGGTGCTCTTCCTCTCCACATGGTCCCTAACTGAACAGGCTAAACTCAGCAGCCCTCCTGAAGTAGTGATACCCTTGAGGGTCACTGACACTAGTAGACATGATGCTTCCCCAGACTGGCTGTCATATAGCCTGCACTTTGGAGGAGAGAGACATATTATCAACATGAAACCCACAAAATACTTCATTTCCAGAAACTTCCTACTGTTCACCTACACTGATCAAGATGATCTCCTTGCAGAACAGCCATTTGTGCAGACTGACTGCTACTATCATGGCGATGTAGATGGAGACCCAAATTCCATGGTGATTATTAACACCTGTTTGGGAAGTTTGCAAGGCATACTAGAGATAAATGGCACTGTTTATGGACTCATGCCTAAGAAGTCAACTTCCACATTTGAACACCTTGCTTACAAAATGGACAGTGAGGACTCAGAATCATTTTCTATGAGATGTGGGTTAACAGAAGAGGAAATAGCACGACAAATGAAGATTCAAGAAAGCAAAGACTCCACGCTTATGCAAAGCCAGTATCAGAACTGGTGGACCCATCACAAATACCTTGAATATTATGTGGTGGTTGATAATCAACGATATGTTTATAGAGCAAGTAATATCACAGTTTGTATGCAGGAAATGTTGCAAATTGTCCATGGGATAAATGGTTATTATCGTCAGATAGATGTTGAGGTGATTTTAACTGCACTGGAAGTTTGGACTATAACAAACAAAGTCAATGTAACAGAATCTATATCAAACGTCCTAACTAATTTCTGCAGTTGGAAGGGAAGGAACATTGATGGACGCATTAGAAATGATATTATACATCTTTTTGCCAAGCAAGGATATGGTATATATCTGGGGCTAGCTTACATAGGAACAATTTGCACAAAAATTAATTGTGCAGTGAACAGTTTTCAGACAGATTCACTGCAAACTATGTCATTCATTATAGCACATGAAATGGGTCATAATTTGGGTATGGAACATGATAAAGAATTCTGTACTTGTGGGTTATGGAGCTGCATAATGGCCCCAGCACAATCTAATTCACCTAGATTTAGCAACTGCAGTTATGAACAGATGTTTCGAACAATTACCAGAAGAGATTGTTTATACAATTATCCAGAAGAAATAATCAGAATGAACATAACAACTGTGCGCCCCCCAGCCAAGTGTGGGAATTACATAGTTGAAAATGGAGAGCAGTGTGACTGTGGAACCCCTGACTCGTGTGAAACAGATCCATGCTGTCAGGAAGACTGTGCATTTAAACCTGGTGCTGAATGTGCTTTTGGACTTTGTTGCAAAGATTGCAAGTTCATTCCCACAGGTACAGTGTGTAGAGAAAAGAACAATGAGTGTGACCTTCCAGAATGGTGCAATGGAAGTTCAGCTGAGTGTCCAGAAGATGTGTACATGGAAAATGGAAGCCCATGCAGGGGTGATGGTTATTGCTATAATAAGACATGTCCTAGACATGAAGAACACTGTTGGAGACTTTTTGGCAGCAAAGCCAAGAGTGCAGGAGAGATTTGTTACAAGGAAATGAACACAAGGGGCGACCGTTTTGGTAACTGTGGTAATGATAGCTTAAAGTATAGAAGTTGTGCTGCTGCTGATGTACTCTGTGGACGAATTCAGTGTGACAATGTACAACTGATTCCACATAGAAGAAGCCATGAAACAGTGCATTGGATTCACTTCAACAATATCACCTGCTGGAGTATAGACTTTCATTTTGGAATGACAGTAGAGGACAGTGGAGCAGTGAGAGAAGGCTCAGTTTGTGGTAGAAATAAACTGTGCATTAGGAGGAAATGTGTCCCTAAGTCTACTTTGATACATAACTGTACAACACACTTTTGCAATATGAAAGGAGTCTGTAACAATAAACATCACTGCCATTGTGATGCCCAATGGGAACCACCAGACTGTAGAACAAGTGGCTTTGGAGGTAGTATAGACAGTGGACCACCGCCAAGGCCATATTCAAAGAATTCCAAAGTTGGTAAGTTTATACTAGCTCTTTTTATTCTTTTGGCTTTGGCACTTTGCTTGACTTCCCTAATTACAAAAGAAAAATCACAAAGCAAACTCGAACTAGAAGAAATGTATGAGCCAGAAGCTGAACAAGCACATGTAGCTGAACCTTCGCCTGATGATTTAGCTGAGAATAATGACAAAAGTAAACAGAAAAGACAAAAGAAATAATAAGAAAATATCTACTCTATAAGAAATCAATCTGTATTAGTTTGTAGACTTCAGAACATAGAAAAATCACGGTGTGTGTAAAAATCCTAGACCAGAAATTCTGGAGTCCTTCATGTTTGAGCATCATAATCATTCACCACCAAATAAAATGAGGTCCTATCACACTCACACTTTTCTTTATTTTAATGAATTTATTGCTTTCTTTTTAATGGAATTTATGTATATCAGTCATTAGCATAGGTCTTCTGCATGTGTTTTTGTGCATTTGTTTTCTCTCAGCTTCAAACCTGTTCCCCCTTTTTATTCTGCTGTATCACATAGACAGAAAAACAAACAAACAAACAAACAAAACCCTCCAAATCCCATTTCCTCCTGGCAATTCCTGTCTGCTAGAATCTGCCTCTAGGAGGGCCAGATTGATATTTGAACCTTGAGAGAATGGTGTGAGGTTCCTGGCATGGCTGCTGCAGTCTCAACTCCCATATTGATGGCACCAGTAGCTCTCTCTTTCTCTCTCTGCAGATGACTTTCACACCACAGACCTGTTCTAGTTAAGGTTACTCTTGCTAGTATGAAACACCATTAATACCAAAGCAAGTCGAGACAGAAAGGATTGATTTGGCTCTCATTTCCTTATAACTATCCATCATCTGAGGAGGTCAGGACAGGAACTGTAATGGGGCAGATTCCTGGAAGCAGGAATTGAGGCAGAGGGCATGGAGGGGTGCTACTTACTGGCTTAGTCCTCCTGGCTTACTCTGCATACTTTCTTTTAGAACCAAGTATCAAAAGCCCAGAAGTGGCACCACCAAAAATAGGCAGGGATATCCCCCACAAATCACTAAATAATAAAATGTTTTATAAACTTGTCTGCACCCTAATCTTATGGGGATATTTTCTCAATCAGGGTTTCCTGTGCTCAGATGACTACATCTTGTATCAGGTTAACTTAAGTTTAGCCAGCACAACACCAATGCCAGCTATAGAAAGTCAGCATCCCTTTGAAACATGATACCAAATATTCTGATCTCTGAGCTCTCTACAGTTTCCAGACATGACTGCACCAAATCTCTCCTTGGAGATTATCCTCATAAGCCATCAAAGCCATGAAACAGTATCCATACCTACTTCCAATTGATCACTAGTTGCAGTGTAGAGAACCACATATCCAGCTAGCATGCTTAGTCATTTCAAGGATGAGTGTTTCTAATGATGGAGAGATATCACACTGTCCTATGCTGAAATCCGAGGTTCATAATTTTTCCCACTACTAATATAGAAATATAATATAAGCTTGGGTATTATTTCCTTTAAACTGTAACCAAAAAATGGTAAATCCTAATGTTCAATAATTAATCACCTTCATTACAAAATGAAATCATGAAGATATTGACAAATTTGTGTTTAATTAAATAAATACAAGCAAATCTAGTATCCTTTGGAAATTTAAAATTCTCTATTAAATGTTAAAAAAAAACATTTATGCAGATAGAAGCCTGTCTGTAAACTACTATCTGGCCTCCAGTCTAATTCAACTACCCATCCTTCACAATATTCAAGGTTTAGGCTTCCATTCTGTATACATCTATCTACAAATCCCTCCTCTGCTGCCTCACACAACTTCACACCAATAGTCTAGCCTGATGACTGTTTCAGACCATGCCATCAATATTTTTTTTTAATCTGCTTTATCTAACCAAAGCCAGTCTGGATACCTCTGCCTACGCAATAGCTGGCCTCTAGACTTCTGCTATTACATGCCCCAACCTAATCTGACCAATCAAGCCTGCACTTCATTTAAGGTGTAGGCTTTTGAAAAGACCTTCCCTGTCTACAACCAACCACTGGTCCCTTGTGAGCCACATCTCAGCATCTGACAAAGTACACAGATTTCCTCTTTCTCTTCCAGACCATAGCCTAGTAAGTTCCCCTAACCTCCCCACCACACATTTTCTGTAACATGCCAAAACTTGTTTGTGTTCCACAGCCAATGCAAGATGCTCTAAAGTTGCCCTTTGTCCTCCCTGCCTATTCTACAGTCTTCATAACCACCCCATTGCATTTTAAAGCCTGTTCTGAAGCCAGAAATATGTTCAAACTCAAGGCTTGCAAAAGAAAGCACATACTTAAAACTAGCTCAGTACTCTCTGTCCATCTTATTTTATTCTATAAGTCATTTCCAATATCTAGATCTAGCCAGCATATCCACAACAAACTCAGAACTAACAAAAGAAGTGCACATGCCCAGATCATATTGACACAATAGAAACAGTATTAAAGATCAAACCACTACCTTCCAAGTTCTACATGTCCTAAAGAAGTGTTTGTAGATGTGTACTGCCTAAATGAACAGAATATAAAAAGAATAATCATAAGCTTTATCAAAGAACTCAAGGAATTTAAAAAGACATGAAGAAGGAGCTCAACGAAATGAAGGAGAAGGAACTTAAGGAGGATAAACTGTTAAGTGATGTCCAAGAAAACACAAACATGAGACTAATGGAAATGAACAAGCCAATCCAGGACTTGAGAACAAAATTAAATCAAGAAATAGAAACAGTAAAGGGGAAATTAGAAGAAATGAAGATATCCTGATATCCTTGAAAAACCCAATAGCTCAACAACAGAATGCAATAAATAAATAAATAAATAAATAAATAAATAAATAAATAAATAAAACTTATTTATGCAATGAACCAAATAGAAGGGAGATTATCAGGTTTTGAAGGTAAAGTAGAGGATATATAACAAATAAGCAAGCAACATTATTTTTTTACTACAAGAAATGTCATGCAAAGCCTTCATATGTGAGAAACTATGAAAACACCAAACCATTGAATTGTAGCAATAGATGAGGGAGTAGTCTTATGTCAATGGCATAGTTCAGAGCTTCAAGAAAATCATAGAAGTGAACTTCCCAAAACTGAGGAAACACACACAGAGATACAAGAAGCACACTGAACATCAAATAGACAAGACAAGGCATATCTATTTAAAGCACTGTTAAAATAAAGAATAAAGAAAGTTTTGCAATCTCCAAGAGGAAAAAAAAGGGTATATAAGCAAGAACCCAAAAGAATAACAGTCTATTTCTCACTAGGAACTTTGAAAACCAGAGTGTCTAGAGCAATGCATTCTAATTCCTAAAATATTATGACTGCTAATCTTGAATAATATATCCATCAAATGATATTCCATGATTGAAACAAAAAAGCAATTTTTCCAGGATATAAACACACTAAGAAATATATGTCCAACAAACCAACACTAAAGGAAATATAGGAAACAATATTATAAGCAAAAGAACAGAAGGAATATAACAAAGTACCATTTAGAACACAATCAACAATATCCAAAATCAGCAACATAAAGACCACAGTTACACATACAGTACAGACTGACTGAATTGATCAGAAAACAAATATATTTATCTGGTGTCTACAACAAACGCATCTTAGTTGCCTTAGAGTAAAAGGTTAGACAAAAATATTCCAATCAAATGAGACCAGGAAGCAAGTATACTATTTATTTATTTATTTATTTATTTATTTATACTAACTTTCACACTATATAACACAGTAAAGTTCAAGTAAATCTACCCACAGGAGATAAAGCAGGATACATCATTCTTACCGAGGGAACAGTTAATCAAGAAGGTTTGCTTTCTTCATCATACATGCACTATATTCTTGTACACTCTATTTCATAAAAGAATTTACTACTGGGTTTAAGTCACAGATTAACAACAATGCATTAATAGTAGGTGATTTCAATACTCAACTTTCTCCTATACATAGGTGATAACAAAAATAATTTACACCGTGAATTACAATGGACTCGATATTAGCTACATGAAAGAGTACATACTTTATTTTCATGAGCACATAAAAGCACTGGAGCCAGGTCAAATGAAGGATGTCTCACAGGTCTTTATGAAAAGATAAAAGGATCAAATTCTATGACTTTGCACAGATGAGCTGGGTCCAGGACCTTGGCAGAGAACAGTTTTCAGTTCCTAGGAACTGGACTTTTCCCCTGAAAAATCTTTGGTTATCAGTCCCAGGCTGCTGGGTACTTGATCTGTGACATAGTTGAGATAGCCTGGGTTACCTTTGCTAACTCCATCACATTCTGTGATAGTTCTGCTGACTCTGTCCATGTACTGAAAATAGTACATGTAACAGTGCTGCTAAGTAAAATTGCAGGCATGAGCTATCAGCTTGTGTAGTCCTCCTGATGCCAGCTTTCTATCCTGTCCATTTTCTTATCCACAGTCTTCCCCATTGAAACCTTCCAGTTTGGAACTCTCATTTGTGCAAATTTAAGTCACTGAAGCTTTTTTTTTAAAAGACCACACTGAGCAACAAAAAATAATTACAAATTCAAAGTGTTCAGATAACTCACTGTATCATATCTGATTATAATGTAATGAAACTTAAAATTCACAGAAAAAAACTCTCAAATATATGTTAGTTCATAGAGATTAAGCATTTCATTCAATAATGATAGATCAGTGTGAGAAAAAATCAAGAAAATCATTTTTCTGAAACTAAAACACAATATAACATGCAGTCACAATTTCAAATACCTTCATTAAAAAATCAGACCTCAAGTACATGATCTAATGATGCAATTTAAAAAAATTATAAAAAACAATAGCATACTTAGTCAATGAAAAAATAAAAATTAAATAAAATCAGAGCAGAAACCAGTGACATCTAAACAAAGAAAACAATACACAAAAAATCAATGAATCTAAGAACTGGTTCTTTGCATATGAAAATCCATCAACATAATCTACCATATAAATAAACAGAAAAAGGAAAACCACATGATCATCTCACTAGATGCTGAAAATATTCTTTGATAAAAATCTAACATCCCTCAACTACTAGATGAAGTTTCTATGATGACATATAAGTTAGTTATCAATCTCATTATCAGGAAAGGGCATTTATTCATAATTTTCTCTCTCTATTCATTATTGCTCATATTGTTAG